AATGATAATGATAATAATAATGATAACAATAAGAAACATTAATCGACCACTCCCCCAATGGCCTGGGGATTTTCAGGGCCAATATACTGTTATAGGTGAGACTTTGGGACTTCAAGTAAGTAAGACATGACACACACATGCCAGAATGCTTAAAAAACATTTTGACGAAAAACACTTAAAATGTTTTTCTAATTTCTACTAGAACGGGGTTAAGAACGAATCAGAGACTTCTTGCCTGACACAGGCCTGTAAAGAGGTGAGTATTCTTGTTCATTTAAAACCCTGCGATAAGCTAAAACCGTATGTCCAATACATTATTGAGTTTTCAAAACGGCGCGTTCGGATAAAACGCACAAAGTAGTACAAAATCTGATAAAGGACACTTGGCAACACCTCGCCCGAGTCGGTCCGAAGGTGTTGTCACGTAACAAGGTTTGGTTACCGACCAATTATTTCAAGTAAAAGTGAGATAAAAAATGATTTACAAAAATCAGCCCAGGCTTGAAAAGCAGATTCCCTTCGTCTCTTGCCGAATGTTCATTCTCGGTTGATTTTTCTGCTACCAGTATAATATTTCAATGTACCAGGGGCACGAAGATCTTTCTGACTATATAGTTCATTTTCAAATCAATGATGATTTTTCTTCTAGTGTCTTGCACCTTGTAACGCGAAAAGGACATTTCCAGACGAGAACTCATGCAAAGCAAGCTGTGTAAGTAGCATTCTCGTTTCCACATCCATTTATAAATGTTTGTGATATCTCTGAATTTCTTGTTTGTTGAACACCGAAATAAAACTGATTGGCACCTCGACAAAAATGAAATTGACAACCGTTCAATGGGAGCGAAGAGCGAATTTTAGCCCTTCAAAGTAACTGGGTTATGATTCTTGTGTTAGGTTCTAAAGGGCTCTTGGACCGAGAGTGCCTGGTGCGATTATTGTTATGCGCTAATAGTATCTCTTATTACTTTTGATCATGAATGGGTCCTTGCGAAGTTTCCGGGAAAATGAGAC